CTATCTTTGAGAGTTGACCTAAATGCGTTCAGATCTCCGTGCTGTAGGAGGAGGTGATTGAAGGGCATTTTTATTCCCTCGAATAACAGGAAATCCACCATTTATTCTTCAGTAATAAAAACTGCATGTGTGAGAATTGTGACCGTGGAAGGTCAACTCAAATTAAAGATTTTATGACTAGCGGTTATATTAAATCTTTTCAACAATTTTTTATAGAGAGGATTTGAAATATGTCAAACGTATTTCTCTGAGTTTTTTCAAGTGAGAGGTTTTATTGCATCGGGTCACAGAATCAGGAGAAAAAATTACACTTAGATCATCCAGGCCTGGCTCTACCAATATCTTATTGCTCCCTTCAGAACCAAAGGCTGGGTATTAAGCCATCTGAGGTCAACTTCTTCTAATTAAAATGAAAGTCATAAAGCAAAGTATTTCAATAATCCACAATAATAATAATCCCAAATTTATACAGTGCATGTATCCAAGAAATGTAAAGCAGCTCACATTTTTTCTTTCACCTGGAAATAAAAATGAAAGCCCCAAGGCAAATGTAAGGGAACATTTATTAACTTAAATATTTATAGAGAAAATGAATGTGCTTGTGTGTGTACTAGGAGAAAGGGAGGAGGAACTAACATTTATTGGGCACCTACTGGGTACCAAGCTTTGAACTAGGTCCAGTGGACCCAAACACGAATGACACCTTTCTTTTTCTTTTTTTAGGGTTTATTTATTTTATTTTAGAGAGAGAGAGCGAGAATAAGCAGGAGGAGGGGCAGAAGAAAAGGGAGAGAATCCTCAAGCTGACTTTCCACTGAGCACAGATCCCAGCACGGGGCTCAATCCCAGGACCCCAAGATCATGACCTGAGCTCAAACCAAGAGCTGGACCCCTAACCAATGGAGCCACCCAGTTGGCTTGATTCACCCACTGAGAATTAAAGTGAGATCATAGGGGCACCTGGGTGGTTCAGTGGGTTAAGCCTCTGCCATCAGCTCAGGTCATGATCTCAGGGTCCTGGGATCAAGCCCTGCATCGGGTTCTCTGCTCAGTAGGGAGCCTGCTTCCCCCAAATCTCTGCCTGCTACTCTGCCTACTTGTGATTTCTCTCTCTCTGTCAAATAAATAAACAAAATCTTAAAAAAAAAAAAAAGCGAGATCATATATGGGAAAGGACTTGAAGAGGTGAAAAGCACTATACAGGTTTGGTCTTCCCATCTAGACTAGGAACTACTTGGGGGCAGGGACTGAGCAGAGACATCTCTGGAACCGAGTGCCCACCCAAGTGTGTGGCACTGATCCTTCCAAAGCCCCAGCCAGAGATCTAAGTATATATTTCATGCCCCAAAAAGCAGGGGGCAGGGAGAAGGCGAGATTCCCCCCCCCAATTTTTTTAGGTGTGAAAGGAACGTTTTTGAGGTTCCTGGGATTTTTGAAACTTTTCGTTTTTAAAATAAATACAGGAGAATGTGTATAGATTTGGTAGTTATGAGGTGATACTAACCACCTGGGACCATGTAACAGGGCCAAAAAGTAAAGAAAAGCTCACAGGAGGAAAGATTTCAAAGGGACACAGAAACCAGTCTGAGGGGGCGGGGCTTCCTGCTGGTCAAATCAAGGACTATTCGAGCATCAAATAAACAGTGAGAGTGATAGATTATAGCCAAGTGACTAATACAGGAAATCAGGACCAGGAGTATGTGTATGTATGATATAGAAATACAGGGGCACCCGAGTGGCTCAGTTGGTTAAACGTCCAACTCTCGATTTTGGCTCGGCTCAGGTCATGATATCAAGGTTGTGAGATCCAGCCCCGTGTTGGGCTCTGAGCTGGGCGTGAAGCCTGCTTAGGGTTCTCTCTCTCCCTCAGCCTCACTCTGCTCCCACCCTCAGCTCTCCTGCACGAACTCTCTCTCTCAAAAAAAAAAAAAAAAAAAAAGAAAAAGAGAGAGAAAGAGAGAGAAATACAGGTGCAGTTATAGACACTGAAAACGATATAGATAGATAGACAGGGGTGCCTGGGTGGCTCAGTGGGTTAAAGCTTTTGCCTTTGGCTCAGGTTATGATCCCAGGGTCCTGGGATCGAGCCCCACATCGGGCTCTCTGCTTAGTAGGGGGCCTGCTTCCTCCTCTCTCTCTCCCTGCCTGCCTCTCTGCTTACTTGTGATTGCTCTCTGTCAAAGAAATAAATTAAAAATCTTAAAAAAAAAAAAAAAGATATAGATAATCACATGACCCAGCAATTCTGCTCATTGGTATTTACCCAAGAGATGGGAAAATATGTCCATACAAAACTTTATTTCCGGCAACTGTGTTTATGATAGCCCCCAAACTATAGATAGACCATCCCACATAACCATCACCAGGTGAACAGGTAAACAAAAGATAGTATATTTGCACAAGGAATGTGACTCAGCAATAAAAAGGAATAAACTATTGATATACACAATATGTATAAAAATCAAAACTATTGTCTTGAGTGAAGGAAATCAGACACAAGAGTAAATATTGTGTGATTTTATTTATATGAAATTCCAGAACAGGCAAAACTAACCTCTAGTGACAGAAAGTACAACAAAAGTTTTCCCCAGGGTGAAGGCTGGGAGGGAGCTGACCACAAAGGAATGTGTGGGAACTTTTGGGGTGATGGAAATATTCTGGGTCTTGAGTAAGATGATAGTCTACACATTTTTTCAAAACTCAAAGAATATTTAAAATAGGTACACTTTAATATATGTTTATGTTTAAATTTAGTTTTTATAACTAAATAACATTGATTTTTTTTTAAAGGACTACTATGGCAAAGCCTTTGTTGTTCTGCAGTCTTTCCTTAATTGCAGTCATGATGCCTGGAGGCACAGCAGCTATCTTGTGAATATGAGGTAACAAGCATGAGGACAAAGTAAATTAAAGCCAAAGACAGCAGAGGAAAAAAGTAGAAAGAAGCTGATGCTCGAGGCCAACTTTGAGTTGCCAAGCCCTCCCTCGACTGTCACCCTCTAGACCTTGTCACTCTAAGAGTTTTGTTCTTTCAGTCAAATTAATCCCCAAGCAAAATACAAAGTCCCCCCATCCAAATTATTTCCACTCCACCTTCATTTTTCATCAACTGAGAATGCATCCATCCTCCTCCTTCAGAACCCCAAACCAAGAATTTAAGCACCTAATCTTCAAAGGTACACTTTGGAAACAGCCACTATGTGAAGTTAATTATGGCCGGAGGCATCACTGAGCATTCAAATGGGCCAAGTGGAGTTGGGAAGACAGGCGGAGAAGCAGCACTGGAGTCTTAAGAGATAGGAAAAGAGGGGGCGGAAGAGCCCACAGCAGATGCGGATGGGAATGAGACTGGATAGTTAGGAGGGAACCAGTTTATGAAGGACTTTGAAACATTACATTTGTCCAATGTCACAGGCAACTAGCCCCAGATCTGGTGTTTCGGCCAGTGTTATTGACTAGTGAACATTAACATTTCCGTCAGCCATGTCATATTGGGGTTTTTTTTGAGACTTTATTTTTTTTGAGAGACAAAGCAAGAGAGCAAGCATGAGAGAGGGGGTAGGGGCAGAGGGAGAAGGGGAAGCAGATACCCCGCTGAGCAGAGAGCCTGATGCAGGGCTGCATCCCAGGACCCTGAGCCAAAGGCAGCCGCTTAACCGACTAAGCCACCCAGGTGCCCCTAGAGTTTCTATTACACGTGCCAGATACAATTCCTGGCGCATGCTTCCCATCACCCTTAGAATAAATCCCCAAACTCATACCTGATCTCTCCAACAGCATACCGTACCACTCGCCTCATTCTTCCTGCACCAACCTCACAGACCCTCCAGGCTGTTCATGGTACCTGCCAAGTTTATTTCTGCCTCAGTGCCTTTACCCTTGCTGTTCGGGTATGCTCTTCCTCTAGATTTTTCACAGTTTGAGCCCTCTCTTCACTCAGCTTTGTGCTTTAATGTCACCTCTGTCCCAAGGTCTTGCCTTGACTACTCCATCCAAAACGGGTTTCCTCACACTCCTTAACTCTCTAGTAATTTATCTTTATTCAAAGCACTCACCACTAACGAAAATGGTCCCTGCCCGGGGGTATGTAATTTATTTTCTTGCTTATTTGATGTCCATTGGCTCCCGGGAATGAAAGCTTCCACTTCCAGAAGTACAGGCACGTCCCAGAACCTGGACGAGTGCCTGGGATGGAGTAGGCATTTGAAGGACATTGATTTAATCAATCAGTCTATTCATGACATCCTGAAATGGAGGTAGACTCCTCCTCACACTTCGCTCATCAGTTCTTTGTACTACAAAGACTATGTAACTAAAAGTTACAGACACTGTGTTGGGTTTATTTTGGTATTTTTGTGATACCAACACTCTCTGGGGCCAGCAAATTTTGTCTGGACACTTCATTTCATGGTCTCTCCAAATTCTGGACGGGCTCGACAACTTAAGGCTGAACGAATAATGAATGAATTTTGCAGCGAAGCGTCCAGACATCGGCACTGACACTAACCTAGGCCGGGCGTTATCCTTTTGTTTTCTCCCCACATCTCCCAAAGGACCATCAGTGGTGAACCCATTCAGAGACCGGAGGCTCGATCTGTCTCTGACCTTTTCTAGATTGGGCCGGGGCCGTGATAAACGCGATCACCATGTAGACAGTATCGTGCCGGAGGGCTGATGGCATCCGAAGGCCAGCTCCCAACCCCAGGTCACCAGCATCATGGCCAGTCTGAGCTGGGGTTACAGGGAGGAGCACACATCAGGGGGCTGCAATCTGTCCCCAGCCTACGACGAAAGGGAGGCGGCACTCGTGAGCTCTGCGGCTCTCCGGGCTCAGAAGCGAGTTTGGATCCGGGTGGTTTGCTCCCCTTCCACCCTTCCTCTAGCCTGGCACGTCCGCTTCCAGCCACAAAGCGCAAGCGGGTTCCCAGCCGCGCGCCGCGGCCCCGCCCACTCCCGTCGGCCCCCGCGGGTCGCTCCCGTCGCCTTGGAAACCGAGACAGCCAGTCGGCGCGGCGGCTTCCGGTCATCCGGGTGGGCTCTGACGGGCCTGAGGGCAGCAGACCGCGATGCTGAAGGCCAAGATCCTCTTCGTCGGGCCCTGCGAGGTGAGGCCCGGTCGGCGGGGGCAACGGGCGGGGGCCCGGGCGGGCGCGGGGCGACGCGGGACTGTGCCTTGTGCCGGGAGCCCCCCAGGAGGCGGGAGTCCTGTCCCACCGCGCCCACCCCGTGGGCGACGCTGGCCGCAGCGTGAACTCGGCGCCCTCCCCCCAGACCTCGACTCCGTTACCCTAAGTCCTCAAAGTAGTGAGTCGTGTTTTGGAACCAGAGTCTAGGTCCCACGAGTCTCCTTTGCCCCTCAGGTTGGCCCTAATGAACATGTCTGTGGGACAAGAAAAGGAGAGGAAATATGGGGCTGTCACGTGGTGTTTGAACGGTTCGCTCGCAGTATGCGTGGTGGTGGGGTTGAATCTAGACGTAGACCTCACACCATACATAGGAATAAGATTCCCGTGGACTAAAACTTAATGTCAAATAACCACCGTAGAAATAGTGAATATTCTCCGTCTTAAGCTCGCATCCCAGTGGCCTGGAGGGCTTGTTAAAAACACGCCATGCAGGGTGCCTGGGTGGCTCCGTGGGTTAAGCCTTTGCCTTCGGCTCAGGTCATGATCTCAGGGTCATGGGATCGAGCCCCGCATCCGGCTCTCTGCTCAGCAGGGAGCCTGCCCCCCACCCCTTTCTCTTTGCCTGCCTCTCTGCCTACTTGTGATCTGTCAAATAAATAAATTAAATATTTTAAAAAATAAATAAAACAATGAGATGACACTTGCTTGCCCATCAGAGTGGATGAAAAAAGGTTAGAACTCTGATAACAAGGAAGTATGAGGATGCTTGTAGGGAAATGAGTACTTTCGGATTCTGCTGATTGCTAACAGCTTTACTGGCAATCCAGTTATCCAACGTTAAGACATGCGTAGCTTTCAGGGCCGCACTCAACATTTCTCAAAATCTATAGCAGCTGGACCTTACCTAGGTTCCCCAGAGGGGATACTGAGCGATACTGAACAGCTGGAAACACCCTAGGTGCCCACCAATAAGAGAACATCTCAAAAAACTAAGGGACATTCTTACGGGGGAAGACCCCAGCAGTTACCCAGAAGGAGGCACATCTGTGTGGAGTGACATGGAGAACTTGCCGAGACATAAACTAGTGAGTGAAGTAGACAAGTAATAACAATATGCATAGAATTGTGAGAAGTAAACCAAGCATAAATATCTTCTTCTTTTTTTTTTAATGGAAATTCACAAACGTATAAGGGGAGAAAAAAACAAGGAACTCCTGGTACTCATCACCCAGCTTCAACAACAAAGTGTATTTCCGCATACACATATCCCCCTCTACCTCAATACTGCATAGATTGGCCCACCCTTTTTTTTTTTAAGATTTTATTTATTTATTTGACAGACAGAGATCACAAGTAGGCAGAGAGGCAGGCAGAGAGAGACGGGGAAGCAGGCTCCCTGCTGAGCAGAGAGCCCGATGTGGGGCTCGATCCCAGGACCCTGAGATCATGACCTGAGCCGAAGGCAGAGGCTTAACCCACTGAGCCACCCAGGCGCCCCATGGCCAACCTCTCTATTCCTTTAACATGCTGGGCCTATTTCTGACCTGGTGCCATTCAACCAGTTTTTCCCTCCCCCTGGAAGGCTGGGTTGACTCCTTGTCATTCAGTCTCAGTGGAAACCACCCTTTCACCCTTCCCTGACCACCCAGTTCAAAGTCCCTGTGGCATTATCCGCTTGATTTTTAGCCTCGTGTTTAACACTACTGTATCTTGTGTTCAGCAGCTCCGGGCAAGGTAGACACTTAAAGATACCCGATGTGCCTCACAGTTTCTTCATTTTCCCAGACGAACCCTCCCCCTCAACCAATTGGTTTTGACCAATATGTATACATAAACTTTAAGGGCATTGATGCAATATATAAATACACTTCTATAATGTTTTATGTATTCATGTAGCTATATACACCTTTAAAGGTACATTAAAGACATATATTAATTTGGAGATGCTGCTTTATTCCTTACTTGTATTTCATGACACAGCTTTAAAATGCTAGCTCCTCACCAGCACCTTTGACACCCGAGTTGATTTTATGACGGAAGCTACTTTTAAGCCACACGATGGGCACCTGCCTGGCTCAGTCGGAAGAGTGTGCGACTCTTGATCTCAGAGTCATGAGTTTGAGCCCCACATTGGGTGTCGAGATTACTTAAATAAATAAAACTAAAAAAAAAAAAAAAAGACGAAGACATGACAAAGCACACGATCTGAGTTGTTTAGAATATGAGCATTTTTTGAATCTGTGTACGACCCCGTTTCTACAACTATATTCCAGCCCCAAGAACCATTCCCATGACATTTGCTTTATTCGTTTATCCTGTAGTTAAATATTCATGGTCTCCACAAACATAACCACTCACTGTGTTTTGTTTTGTTTTGTTTTAAGATTTATTTATTGAGTTGGTGGGGGGGGGCAGGAGGAAAGGGAGAAGCAGACTCCCCAGTGAGCAGGGAGCCTGACACCAGACTCGATTCTCGGACCTGAGATCATGATCTGAGCCGAAGGCAGAGGCTTAACTGACTGAGCCACCCAGGCGCCCCTCAACTGTGTTACTTTGAAGTGACATTTAGTTTGTGAGGCTACATACTCAGAAAGAATTACTAAAACAAGATTAAGACCCTCCCCCTCCTTTTTCTGAATCTGTCGAGTGACCTCTGTAAGCCTCCAAAACTGTCATCGATTGAAATGATTCTAGTCAAGCAGTTGTTAAAAAAAAAAACGACTTGCAAGAGCAGGGAATAATTTCAGAGATTTTTAAGGACTCGAGTGTAAGAGATTCCCTTTCATCTGAGGAATAATTTGCAGAGAAAAAAACACCTCGTCTTACATCCAAGCATATACAATATCCCCTAAATGAATGATACAAATGTACAGAAAAATCTCTGAAAACAGATCATAGTTACCACCTTTGGGGAGGGAATGGAATGGATGGACAGATGGCTACTTTGGGCGGAAGGACCAGGAGGGCTGTCTTGTTAATAGGATTGCATATGACTGGTATTATCTAGAAGGAGAAACAGCCCTGTGTGAGAGTGTGGCACGGCCAGCCACTGTGGGACCCAGCTCTAACCTTGAACTTCTGTGTGACCTTGAGGAGCTCCCTTTCCCTTTCTGGGCCTCAGTGGCTTCGTATCTGTGACAGACTGGTTTCTTGGTGTGGAGAGGAGCATGGCAAGAGAGAGACTCACACTAACGATTTTTTCTGTTCTCAGATAAGTTAACTGAGAGCCAGCTAGGGAAATCAGTGTGGGTAAGAAGGTTACCCAGAGGCAGAGCCAGCATTAGAACCCCATGCATGCTGGGTCCCAGACCAGCCTGCGCTCACCACATACAGTAAGGCAGCAAGGCCCGCCCCACCAGAGAGAACCCTCTGCCTTGGCGCTCTCACATGACCGTGGCCTACACGCCATCACACCCGGCTCCGAGCCAGGTATCGGAGGGCCTGTTTATGGTTTACTTTTCTGCTCTTCAGCAGAAACCTTTCATTATCTCTTCCACAGAGTGGAAAAACCGTTTTGGCCAACTTCCTGACAGAATCTTCTGACATCACCGAATACAACCCAACCCAAGGAGTGAGGTGAGCCCCGACAAATCTGTTTCCCGGAGAGGCCCACCGCCCCCCTTTTGGTGCCGGTGGCATTCCCCAAGTATACGCTTCCCAAAGTGGAGATGCACCTATTGTTTTTATTTCTAGGATCCTGGAATTTGAGAACCCACACGTGGCCAGCAACGCCAAAGGCACGGGGTGTGAATTTGAGCTGTGGGATTGTGGCGGTGATCCAAAGTACGTTTCCTTTAAAAGGGGTTGGCTTCGTCAAATGATTCAAGACTCAGCTGCCCACCAAGCACCTGGACTCTGGCCCAGCACACTTCCTAGCATGTATTAGGGGCATGATCAATTATTTGGTGACATGCACGGCTCTTGAAACCTGAACGATTGGGTTATGACACCATGACAGGTCATCCATCAGTTAATCCTAAGACATTATTTTTAAAGGCCTCAGCTAGAAACCAGAACGGACTGACATTCACCGTGCCCCCTCCTCTGCCTTACAGGTTCGAGTCCTGCTGGCCAGCCCTGATGAAGGACTCGCACGGGGTGGTGATCGTCTTCAACGCCGACCTCCCCAGCCACCTGAAGGAAATCGAGATGTGGTATTCCTGCTTCGTCCAGCAGCAGCTCCTCCAAGACACCCAGTGTCTGTTGATTGCGCACCACAAACCAGGCTCCGGAAGCGATAAAGGAAGCCCGTCTCTGTGTGAGGACACTGCCCTTTCTCCTTTCTGCTCTTGTCTTGAGTGCTCTGATCAATTGTATATCGTCCCCGTGTCTTTGAACCCAGCAGCTCTGTGCAATTATTGAGCGCCACCTGTGTCCTTGTTCTTTGTTCTTCCGACCACGTAAATTGGAATCTCCAAGTTGGAAGATCTGTCCTAGCAGCCAGGCCAGGCCAGAGATACTTTAAAAACACGGAGACACCAAGAAGGAAAAAAAAATATCTGGTTTTAGCCGCTCATCAGTACAATGAGGGACATTCTTGTCTCAGGAAGAACTCCCAGTTAGCATGTGACACACACCAAGACAGAGTGACAAAGTGCTCATGGAAGACCACTCACAATACTCCGAAATCTCTTCCTTTCTGGTGTAAGAAGAGGATGGGGAAGTGGCTTGTAGTGTTGTTATCCCATCACCAGGTGGCAGTGTGGTGGCACTCTTTATTGGGCACCTACTGTATGCCGACCACGATGCTGAGCTCAGCCGCCCTGGCCTGTGGTGAAACGTTTCTTCCTCTGTTAAATCATGGCGGGCAAGACACAACTTTATGTTTGGCCTCTAGAAAGTTAAGCAAATTGGCTTCAATAAGACTCAGCTCACTGGGAGCCAGAAAGGGGCCCTCCTTAAAGGTTCATGCCTAATTACATTTATTTTCCTTTTAAAGCGCCCCCCTTGAACAAGCTGAAGCTGGTGCACTCGAATCTGGAGGATGACCCTGAAGAGATCAGGTCGGAGTTCCTAAAGTACTTAAAAAGCGTCGTCAATTCAGTGTCTGAAAGCAGAGACCGGGAGGAGATGTCAATTATCACCTAAGCACCCTATATCTGAACTCTTCCGCGTGGCACGTAAGGTCAGCTTGCTCCCCAGAGCAGCTCTGGCATCTTACCCAGCTACCGATGTGTCCTTCTCCGTGTGGCCGTGGAAGACATTTCCCTTATCTACTCTCAGGGTCCACTCAGCCAGGGAGTGGACTCGCACCATTCATTCCCTGTCCTTGGTATTGCCATTCTGACTCCTTTGCCCCAAACCTCTCCAAGAGCTGGAAAACTGAGTTGTTTTTCTTTCCTCTTCATATACGTCAAGTGATAAAAATTGTGGAATTGTAACCGTCAGAACCAAATGACAGGCAGTAGTTTAATCCCTGTGTATTGGTTTGAAGGTGATTTTCACTGCTTAGTTCATCCAGCAAAGACTGACGTGTCATGCCGCACTGTTGTAGCTGTTGACAATAAACAGCAGGAGCAAAACAAAGAAATCCTTACCCTCATGGGGCTGCCATTCTGTTCCTCTAAATTACAGGGAGGTAGGGTGCAACACTCAGGTCCTACACCTTCGATATGGGGAAAGATGATAGATTCTTCCATTTTCCGTAATTGACCTAAATCTCATGTTCTGCTCCTCCTAGATAAGGAGGGGGCCTAGACCACATTTGATGCCAAATGAGGGTACAATTGATCCTCCTTCATGGGTTCTGCTTTGCAAATTTGCCTGCTAGCTCAAACTGATCTGTAACCCCCAGATCAATACAGCGCTTTCCGTTATTCAGAGCGGCCCAAAATTGGGATCATCGGTCACGCATGTTTCCAGCTGAGGCTGAAACACTCTGCTTTCTTGTTTCAGCTCTCATACTATAAACAAGTGCCCTTGTCACAGCCTATTGGGCGCCACGTTTTCACATTTCTGTGCTTTTCATTGAGTGGTTTCGCTGTTTAAAATGACCCCCAAAGGTGGCACAGGAGTTGGCTAATGTTGCAAAGTGCAAGAAAACTGTGACGTGTCTTATCTAAACCAGTGCTTTCCATAAGCCTCATTCCAGCCTGAGTTCTTTGCTGTTGGCTGCGAGTTCAATGTCAATGAAATCAACAATGTATATCGAATAAGATGTCTTTAAACAGAAGCGTCCATAAAACAAGGTTACATATTGATGGTAGATGAAATGTGATCAGAGGCGCACAGGCACGTGACCCTGCATTTCCCCAGAAGCAGGGGTCTGTCATCCCTCATCCAGTGCATGGGGCAAATTTACAGAATATAAGGACCATGAATAGTGAGACTCAACTTGTTTTTCTATCTCCTACAATTTGAAAGTGTCCATGTTAGTTCAGTCTCTAGGATAAATATTTTATCAATTCAAGGTTGCAGTCTACTTCTGCGCCCTTTTCCCCAAGGTGTCAGGGTGTCTGGACAGGGTTTTGCTACTGTTGGGCAGCTGTACCAAGGGCAGGTCCTCTGGTTCCCTTCCTGACCTCTGTCAGGATGTCACTGGCCACCCTACTGGCCATGTCATGTCAAGGCCAGGACTGGTACGGCCATTAGCATGGGTTTTCGCCACAGAACTAGGAGTCCCAGGCTGACTCTGCCACATCCTGGCTGGGCCTGGCCCTGCACATCTCGAGAACCAGCTGTGCCCTCCATACATCCCACATCTCTGTGGGTCTCTGTGGCAGGATCACTGCACTCCTTGCCACAGCTGGCCTGTCTGGCGCATCCTCAACTCTCAGCTTCCTGGGAGAAAAACAGGATTTTCAGGGGAATCGAGAATATAGCAGGTGAATATTCTCAAATATTATCCAGTTACAGTAGTAAGAGATGTGGCATTCTCATTATAAACCTGCAAGGAGGTTTACTTGATCACTTAGGATAACTGTTTAATTTAACAATCCTGTTACGCTTTTTACACTTGGTGTAAACTATGCATAATATAAAATTTGCCATTATAACCATTTATAAGAGTATAGTTCTGTGGCATTCCATGCATTTGTGGTGTTGTGCACCCATCACCATTTTTTTTTTTTTTTTTAAAGATTTTATTTATTTATTTGATAGATCACAAGCAGGCAGAGAGGCAGGCAGAGAGAGAGGAGGAAGCAGGCTCCCCGCCGAGCAGAGAGCCCGATGCGGGGCTCGATCCCAGGACTCCGAGATCATGACCTGAGCCGAAGGCAGCGGCTTAACCCACTGAGCCACCCAGGCGCCCCCCCATCACCATTTTCTATGTCCAGAACATTTTTGTCATCCCAAACTGAAATGGTGTACCCTTTAAACACTAACTCACTATACCCCCTCCCCCAGACTCCTGGAACCCACCATTCCACTTTTTGTCTCTCTGAATTTGACTATTCTAGGGACTTCATAAAAGTAGAATCATACAGTGTTTTAAGTTTTGTGACTGGTGTATTTCGCTGAGTAGAATGTCCTCAAGTTTCATCTGTGTTGTAGCAGGTGTCAGAATGCCCTTCCTTTTTAGGGCTGAATAATATTCCATTGTATGGACAGATTGCATCTTGTTTATCCATTCATCTGTTGGTGATTGTAAATAATTTACTAGAACATTAGTGTCCCATTGACTGAGGATGACTTTTTTCCAAAGATTTCATTTTTGAGTAATCACCACACCTAACATAGGGCTCGAACTCACAACTCTGAGATCAAGAATCACACCCTCCACCGACTGAGCCAGCCAGACACCCCCCACCTAGAATATTTTTGAAGAAGATTGAAGCATTGAACTTCTCCAAGATTTTATTTTTATTTAAATATCCTTGATATCTGGACATCATTATCAGCTTAGAAGGTAGAATATACATAACATCTTCTAAAAAGTTTTTTATGATCTCAGGGGAACTTTCCTTCAGGTAATACATGTAAAAAAAAAAATGTTATATCATCCTAACACCTAATTTGTAAAAACCATCAAAAGTGTTAATGCTCAGAATAAGCAAAGATGGTGAGTTTATAGCTTGTCGTACAAGTGAGTTTGCTTTAATCTTAGGAATTTATTCATAATTTTTATATTTGGATTCCCTTTTTTTTTTTTTTTTTTAAGCTCTAGGCCCAACATGGGGCTTGAACTCATGACCCTGAGATCAAGAGCTGCATGCTCTACTGACTGAGCCAGCCAGGTGCCCCTATTTTTGGAAATTTTTTTTTAACATAGCCAATCTGAAAACATATTACGTAGGTCTTTTCCAGTGCGAGTGAGAGAAAAGTAGAGACGCTTAAGAGAGATGAATCAGTGGTGTGGGTACTCTTCACGTCGACAACAAGGAGGCTGAAATGGAGCTGTGTGGGCTGTTTGTCAGAGAGAGTGGTATTTGCTCATGAGGCCAATGTCCTGGTGAATTTAGACTGAACTACATTCACCTCTTAGCCAACTGCCTGGTTACCTGCGAGCACATTTTAAGTCCAAGTTAATTTCCTTCTGACCTGCTCTCGATGGGAACACGTGTAAGGAACACAGGATAGCCTCAAGGCCAACCATAGTAAATCATCTTTACACAATAGTGGCAGTAATAATAACTGGTCTGCAGAATACGGCTCCAGAACAAAAAGCAATTGTTTTTATCTGATTATTGATGAGAAGCCAAGAGTTCAACAGAAAAATTAACCCCAGCAGTGTGCATTTACAGGGGGGGCAGAGTGCAACCCGTGTAAGTCCTCAAATAGAAAGAGTTGCATTTGAATAGGCCGCGTGTGCCCGAGTTCTAAGGGGACAGTCCATGAAGAAGTCCGTCTTCCCCATCCCAGAAACCTGTTCCCTCTCAAAAAGCCACTTACCAGGGTGCCTGGGTGGCTCAGTGGGTTAAGTGTCCGACTCTTGACATCAGTTCAGGTCTTGATCTCAGGGCTGTGAGTTCAAGCCCTGTGGCTAGGCTCCACGGTAGGCATGGAACTACTTAAAAGAAAAAAAGCCACTTACCTTCCATTTTCCACTAGATACAGTCTGTGCACATACAAATGTGTTGTGTGAAAGGAAATGATAGCAGACTTCACATTTTCCTACAACTTGCTTTTTTCACTTTTCTTATCTTAGGATTGTGTACAGATACATACAGAGTTGCTTTATTCTTGTTCGTAGCTGCAAAATAGTCCACCTAACCATTAATGTCACGATTTTATACTAGATAATTTTAATAACCATTTATGTTGAAATAGTATCTTTTTACTGATGGACGTTTTTTTTTTTTTTTTTTTTTTTTTTAAGATTTTATTTATTTATTTGACAGAGAGAGATCACAAGTAGACAGAGAGGCAGGCAGAGACAGAGAGAGGGAAGCAGGCTCCCCGCTGAGCAGAGAGCCCGATGCGGGGCTCGATCCCAGGACCCCGAGATCATGACCTGAGCCGAAGGCAGCGGCTTAACCCACTGAGCCACCCAGGTGCCCCACTGATGGACGTTTTTAACAATACCGAAATACATGATTTGGGTCATAACTATGCTTGAATGTGAAATTTTAGGAAGGTGGTTTCAACCATCAGCCCTTACGAGGGAAAGGAAAGGTTGCTGGTCTTGGCATCCTAGGTCTGATTTCTCATTTCTTTCTTTCTTTCTTTCTTTCTTTCTTATTTATTTATTTATTTATTTATTGACAGATCACAAGGAGACAGAGAAGCAGGCAGAGAGTGGGGGGAGGGGAAGCAGGCTCCCTGCTGAGCAAGGAGCCCAATGTGGGGCTTGATCTCAGAGCCCTGGGATCATGACCTGAGCCGAAGGCAGAGGCTTTAACCCACTGAGCCACCCAGGCGCCCCCGCCCCAGTCTTTAAGGCCAGCATCCTTAGATCTCTCTCTGCTCCATCTTCACATTGTTTATCTGACTCAAACCTCCCTCTGACACTCGGCTATAAGGACACCTATAATTGCTGGACAATCTCCCCATCTAAAGGTACTTAACTTAATCATATCTGCAAAGACCCCTTTTTTCCAACCAATGAAACAACACTCACACTTTCCAGGGATTTGGGTCCTGAGATCTTTGGGGGCCGTCATTCAGCCTCAGTGCACCTAAGGGACTAATGGAAGAGGAGCAGGCTCAGGGGGATGGGGAGTATGGGGAGATGACAAATGACTAGTCCAAGGCCACCCATCAAGTTAGGACAGGGACCAAACTGGCCCTCAGGCCCCTGTTCTTTCCCCTGTCCTGTGGTAACTGGGCAGGCAGATGAGTCCACAGATGAACATGGCCAAGAATGTCACCCCTGAGACTGAACCCTAGTAGAGCAATAAGGACAGCGACAGCAGCAAGGCAAATAGCAACTCTTGAAGCCGAGCCACCCAGAAAATGGTTTGCACATATGTTGCAGATAGAACTAGCATCATATTATCCTACTTCCTGAAACCAACGAAGTCAGAGAGTAGTACTGAACTTGCGAGGAAAACCATGAGTTAGTCATTTAACATCACAACTCGAACGTCCACATCTCCTGATTGCTCAGGGAAGCTCCTGGAGATCATTACACTTTTCGTGGAACATCAGAAGACCCAAACACTGCAAGATAGGTAAATTGTTAGAACAAGAACAGAGGTTTGCTGGTAACTGAAAACCTATAAGAGTTTTTAAAAATACCAATTAAGGGGGCGCCTGGGTGGCTCAGTGGGTTAAGCCGCTGACTTCGGCTCAGGTCGTGGTCTCAGGTCCTGGGATCGAGCCCCGCATCGGACTCTCTGCTCAACAGGGAGCCTGCTTCCTCCTCTCTCTCTGCCTGCCTCTCTGCCTGCTTGTGATCTCTCTCTGTCAAATAAATAAATAAAAATCTTAAAAAAAAAAAATACCAATTAAGGGTCGCCTGGGTGGCTCAGTGGGTTAAGCCTCTGCCTTCAGCTCAGGTCATGATCTCAGGGTCCTGGGATGGAGCACCGCTTCCTCCCCCCCCACCCCTGCCTGCCCTTCTGCTTGCTTGTGTGCTCTCTTGCTGGCGCTCTCGCTCGCTCTCTCTCTCTCTCTCTCTGTCAAATAAATAAATAAATAAACTTTAAAAATGCCAATTAAAAAAGTAACTGCACAACTCAAGGAAATCACTCTGAACTATGACTCTTCTAGATCTTGACCTCAGCCTTCCCCACCTGGAATATCCTGGCCTTGGCTGGTACTTTCTCAA